TGTGATTTTACTCAATTAAAACCACACAGCTGTTTAACTTGGTTCCTGCATTAGGAAAGTTAATAAAATAAGCCAGATCTTTACTTGCTCATATTACAGAGATTTTGCTGTCTCTTTCTTAAGGGTAAATTTAACCTAGCTGTCTTTCAATATAGTTATCCCATGACCCTTAAAAATAGCTGAAGAATGGCTGGGACATGTGGATAACACCAATATCATCTTAGAGGAATTATACAGACTCATATGTTTTGCTTTGATCTCATTTATATGGAAAAATACCCTTTAAGTTTTCATGCTATTATAAAGCAAATGAACTTTAATTTCTCAGTGAATTTATGCATTTACTTTTCATGCTTCAATAATTTTCTTTTAATATGCTTTCGATGCATATTGTAAAAGCATGGCTCTCATCTATCTGAACGTCCAAAGATAAAATCAAAAATTAGATTTTAGGGAAGGAGAGTATAGCATTGATTCCAGATTTAATGGGACAAATTTTGTACCCAGCATTAAATATCTGGTCATTAGAAATTATAAACAGTTTCAGAAATATACAACATAAAAAGACAATATTAAAAGAATCTTAGAAAGTATCTGTTCAATGCTCTTGTTTTTCAGACCAGGAGCATAAGGCTCAGAGAGGCTTAATGACTTGAAACTCACAAGCTAATTAAACACAGAGTCAGGTCTCCTAATTCAGTGTTCAGCACACCTTGCTCTCAACAACAGTATAACCTGATGGTCACTTAGACTCTGTAGAGTAGAAATTTCAAATCTTATGCATCTTTTGTATATGTTCGCATTCACTCAGCGATGTTTATTTCTGTAGCCTGAGATTACAAACATAGTAAATACCAAGTGGATTTGTAGGACCTATGTGTAAGAACCTCAAAGCAATCCTGAGGCTCCAACACCATCTAAATCCATCTAATTCCATCTGCACTCTTGGCTGTACACAGCCAGGACAGCACCGATGAAGAGAAAATTATTTTATAAACTGCTAGTTTACTAAAGCTAATCAAACAGAAACCAGTAAATGCAGGTGGGTCTTAGTCTTTAGACAATACTCAGTTTAGTCATGTATATTTTTTATTCATTTGATCAGTATGTACTGAACATCTATTATGTGCTAGGCGTGTTTCTAGTGATACACAGACAACAGTGAACAAGAGAGGTCAAGTTCCTGCTTTCCTGGCACTTACAATTGAGTAGCTCAAGCAAAAAATAAATAGATAAATAACCAAAATAATTTCAGTATACTAGAAGTGTTAAGAAGTAAGAATAGATGATAATAATGGGAAAGGTTCTATTTCTGGAAAGGTGACTTCTTTGAACAGGTGACATGAACTATGACCTCTAGGATGAGAAAAAAGTAGTCACACGAGAAACAAGAGGATGAGTACCTGGGCAAAGGGAAAGGGCATCTAAAAGGCTCTGATGTGGAGGCAAGTTTAGGGTTTGGCTGCACCATAGTATACAAGGAACATAGTCTGCATAAAAGATTTGAAATATTTTTTATAAAGATAATGTAAAGATGAGGCATCTTTCAGAAAATGAGTCAAATGCACCCCCAACAGTTTTATTATTTTATAATACACAAGCAGAGCAAATATCTGCATTAGGAATGTCAACGTGATTCTAAAACATGTATAATTTACTTATTCAAAATCCATGTAGAAAATTAAGTTTAGCTAAATGCTTAAATACAACTTCACTTACAAGAAAAAAATAGGTACAGCATGTTGACCACCTGTAATTCAGAACTGCATTTTGTTTAAAGCTGAATGGGTCATAAATATACCATCACCTGGTTTACCTTATCTAACAGGTAAAATCTAAAAAGTAGTAAGGTTGAACTCATGCATTACTTATGAATTAGTCAAATGACAAATTGTTCTTTAAATTATGTGATGCATACATATTTTTGCATTAGTGCAATCTATTCCATAGCATGGGTGTCATATTTGTTACATGTAGAAAACAGCATGTACAAAACGATCAAAAATTTACCAGAAGATTAGGCAGGCTTATAAGATAAAATATCTACATATATAATAATATATGGAGTGCCTGAGATTAAAGGATGTGAATCAAGCATCTGAATTCCGGCTTTGCACCCAGCTACCTGTGTGTCTAAACCTAGGCAAGTTTCTAACCCTTTCTGAATCTCATCTTCTCAAAAATATGGGTTAGTACACATTACTGGGTTGAAGGGACAACAAAGCAAGAATTACTAAGTGTCTAGCACATATTAATAGAATAAACTCAATAAATTTTAGTGTTTATCCAAACCTATATATTTTTCTAATAAAAACAGTAGCATTTACAATATGGAAACCACAATCCTATAGATCATATTTGTCTCTTTTAACCAAAATGTTATGGTTTTGTTCACATAAGAGAAAAGGGTAAGGAAAAAAAACACAAAAAACCTGTTCCTAAAGCTCTTCATATGTCAAATGCTGAGTTAAGACCTTGTGTTTTTAATTGTTCAGCTGCCTGGAATCATCCCATTTTGACTGTCTGGCTTCTCTGCGGTTTCCGGTTTCCACCTCAGACACACACATACACGCCCAAACACAGTAAATCATAGTTAATTGCATGTCTTAAATTAAAAGACAAAAATAATGCACAATTAATTGGGGGAAATTGTCAGTTGGTGAATGAGTCTCGCTCATTACACTCTGTGCACAGGATGCATGCCAAGTGCACGTCCACGCTAGACAATTCAGTCCGTGACACTGAGAGGTGCACGAGCATGACCCTTCTGCAGAGCAGTCTGGTCAGAAGAATCAAAATGCTTCTTAAAAACACTCAACACTGCAATTGCAGCATATAGAGCTTTCTCTACAAAGATGTTCTATACAGGACTGTGAATAATAGTGAACAATTAGAAAGAACTAAAACACTCATTGATAAGAGATTGACTACAGATCAGGTTTTGGCCATTAATGGAAGCTAAGCTGTTAAAGATGCTTTGTTATATTTAATAACATAAGTAAATGTTCATGACATATTCCTATGTAAAAAAGTGCTTCAAAAATAGTATTTTTCTTTTTCTTGAGGCTATACAATATGTTGATGAAGCAAGAAATGGAAAGACAAAAAAATATGTAAGAAAAATGTTAACATTTATCATCTCCGAGTTGTTCATACTTTCTATACTTTCTAATTTTCTAAAAAAAATCATCGAAGTATTTTAAAATTATATTTCATTTTTCTTCTGAATCTGCTATTACAAAAATGTCAGTTTTAAAGATCCATATACATTTTTAAAGATGAATTTGCCTATTATAATAAAAACATCATCATAAAATTAAAAAATAATACCCAGTAAGCACATACATGTAATTCTATTGTATCCTTGGTTATACAGATAAATCTGCTTTATAAAAATATAATTTATAAATATACAAAAAGCCCATGTTCGATATAATTGAATGATAAATACAATAATTCATTTTGATATGTAGCATATTAACACACCATGTAGCAATGCACTATGTAGCATATTAACACACCACAAGAAAATCATTCTACATCCCTTTGAATTTACTGATACCGAAAAACCACAAAATGTTCACAGTAAATAATCTTGAACTTGAAGAACTGCAAACCTTTTCTCCCTTATATCCTATCCTATAATAGAAATACTTTACATCTAGTCACCTAGCACAATTCGGATGCTAATGCCTGGTAATAAACAACACACACACTCACACACATAATCTCATCATTTTTATAAAAGTAGATGGGCACCAATGACAAAGTTCTGCAATATATCACTAGTCATAGCAACTTTTGTTTTATTTCATTTTTAGAAGAAAAGAATATACAAACCCCAACAGAGTAGATTCATTCCAAACGTATTCAACAGTCTACTAACCTTGAAATAAGAAATAAACATTTCCTGCCCCTTGTATTTACTGGGGGGCTGGAGTGGGAAAAGATAATCATATTTCAGCAGAAGCCCATATCTCAACCTTAGGCATCTTTATGTCCCCAGGGTAATATTTTCATTCCATTCTTAATGGAACAAATTTCTAATCAGAATATGTATTCAGAAATAATTGAGGAAATGCAATGTCAACACATCATGCTGCCATCAGGCATCCCCTGGTGCTGGGAATCAACTCAACACAATCTCTAGTGTGACAGAGAGCCCAGGCAATGCAGAAATGTCAGGCTTGATCAAGGGAAGGGAAGCTAGCAAGGAGAACACAACAGTTTTGCTCCTCTTTGAAATACTTTACATCTAGTCACCTAGCACAATTCGGATGTGCTCAAAGACAGTGTTTGGAGGAAAGCTTCCAATCTGGAAGAGGCTAGTCTTAAAACCTCAAAGGAAGAAATGACTTACAATGGTCTACTCCAGGACCCCAACTTTTAAATAGGAATAAGTGCCTATTTTGGTAACATTAGTGAAAATATTTGAAATAATAGTCAATTCTGGAAAGGTTAACACTGACCTGAGATTTCTAAGTTATTAAAGCCTTAGGGCGACATACACACTATCAAATATATTCTGCAATGCCCTGAAAAGGTCTAGAGGTTTAAAATCAGGTTTCTTCAAGTTTGGCAAAATATCCATCATTGTTGAAGCTGGGAGATGGGTAATGGGGATTTATTATACTATTTTTCTTCTTTCGACTATATTTGACATTTACATAATAAACAGTAATATAATAGATTTCCTTGAGTATATTTTATGCTGAAAATTTTACTGACTTTTCCTTTGTAAGTATATATTAATAAGATCTGATTTATGTTTATGATTATGTAAGAGTCTAATAAGCAGTTTGAATTTTATAAAAATCCACAAGCATCGTGTTTTATGTTATCATAAAAATGAAAAGAAAAAAAAAATTCCCTCATTCCAGAAAAAATTTTACCATGATCTATGATGACAGAAGAAGTGCACCTAAACAAATGCAGTGCCACCATCTGCCTGGCATTCTCACAGTGTGACAAAATAGACTGGTAATTAACTGCTTTCCTACCGAAATCTGCCAGCTTTAACTCCCCCGTGTCACTGATCAGAAGGTTCTGTGGTTTCAGGTCTCTGTGCAAAATATAACGCTGGTGGATGTAAGACAGCCCTCGCAGCAACTGAAATAAAAACAACTGGAAAAACAGGGAGACAAAGGTTAAAATCTGAGCCCAGACAAATGCCAGTTTCTACATACAGTCTGCCAAGTACTTGTATTTAGAGAAAATGTGTAACCATCAGTAAGTTTCCTACATTATTATTTAAATACAATGTGTGATATTAGCATGTAAATCCCAAATTCATTAAGTAAATCTGAGAATTTCTAGCAATCTATTATATCAACCCAGACTGATACTTCCTCACCCTGAGAGACCTATACTCCAATCTGTGTTCTATAAATTAAGCAAAATGTAAAGAATTGATTCTTTATAATATTTATTTCCTCTGGCCTAAAATAATTTTTGAGAGGAAAAAATCTATAACATTATAAAGATTTAAAAAAAGAACTGTTTGCCAAGTTCATGTAAATGTACACATATTAATCACATAGAAACAACATAAACATAGTGCCCATGGATTCACCCGCTAACATATTTTTAAGGAATGGAAAAATAAGATGATTTCAAATAATTAAAATAAAAATAGTCACATAGTCCAATTAATGCTACATGGTAATTATACTGCTTTTGCACATATGGCCATAGAGATTAGGCTGTTGCCTAAAGACAAACATGTACCTTCACTAATTACAGAGCAGAACCATCCTAAAGGGAAAGGAAACACAGAACACACAAAAGTCAAGAATTCAAGACCAATACTTTAGCAAGATATAATTTATGAAATGACTGATAGCCTTCCCTGTGAAGTTTCACATTGGATGATATTAAATGTTTCTATTTTGATACAAAAAAATGTGATTCACTAGACTTCCTAATATTCTGCTTATGAAAAAGAATATTTTTAAACAATTTACTTACCAAAATAATCCTAATTGAGATAGATTTTTTAAAAAATTGATCTCTTAAAATAAAAATAGGCCAAGATGGCGGAGTAGGAGCAGCCCGCAAACCCTGCTCTCAAGGAGAGGACTGAAAGTTGCAAGGAGATGCCACCTACAGATGGACCCTCTCGAACTGTGAATCATCATCAGAGAGGCGACTAGAGACACTCAGTGAAGGAGGTGGAGGCGGGGAGACACACTCACCAAGCTTGGAAGATACCTGGGGGAGACGCCTACAGGTGGGGAAGGGATAAAGGAGAGAACCCCAGGGACCCCACTCTGCATGCAAAAGCCACAATGAGCTGTGAGAAGCCCCCTCCTCCTTTCTGATCAGGGAACTGCTTGGAGACCCGATATAGTAATGTTGCACCAGAAAGCAGGCTCAGCAGGGACCGCTGGCCTCTGTTCCTGGGTTTCAGCAGCTGACACCACTCTGAGCTCTCCTGTCTGTAGCTCCCGGTCTACACAGGGATCGGTTTCATTGCAACTGCACCCACACTGCACCTTGACCTGCTGTGGAGGGGCCCGGGAGAGCTGCTGCTGAGAGCCAAGTGCATCCGACACTCATGCAGAATTCCAACGGAGTGGGAGCGGATAACACTCAAGAGATCCCACACTAGCAGCCCCAGCAGGACCTGTGCGAGGAGAGAGCCCTTGCCATCCAGTGGCCCAGCCCAGGCAGCCGTGCCCGCTGACCAGAGGAACAAGCCCCCTGACCCTGCACTACTGAACTGAGGTCAATGCCCCACTGGACCCACCCACCAGTTGATGAGCCATACCCTGGTAGACCCACGCTCCAACTATATGAGCAGGCCCTGCCACCCGCACACCACGTGGAGGTCCACTCTGTACCCCGCACTGCAGCAGGCCATCCCCCAGCCCTGCATGCCCACTGGCGGGCCACACACCCACAGAACCCAGTGTCATGTGGCAGTCTACACTCTCTGGTTTTGTGAGGCAACCAGTAGGCCATTCCCCAACCCCTACCCTGAGCACCACATTTGCCTGGTAAGACAGGCAAATGGCCAACAGACATATGAAAAAATGTTCAACATCACTAATCATCAGGGAAATGCAAACTAAAACCACAGTGAGATATCACCTTATCCCTGTCAGAATGACCATTATTAAAAAGTCAGAAAACAACAGATGCTGGTGAGGATGCAGAGAAAAAGGTACACGTATACACTGCTGGTGGGACTGCAAATTCATACAACCTCTATGGAAAACTATATGGAGTTCCAAAGAGCTAGAAGTAGACCTACCATTCTATCCAGCAATCCCACTACTGGGCATCTACCCAAAAGAAAAGAAATCATTTTCTCAAAAAGACACCTGGCACTCAAATGTTCATTGCAGTACAACTCACAATTGCAAAGATATGGAATCAACCTAAGTGTTCATCAATACATGAGTAGACAAAGAAAACACGGTATATATTAATATATAGCATGGAATACTACGCAGCCACAATAAGGAATAAAATAATGTCATTCACAGTAACTTGGATGGAACTAGAGACCATTATCCTAAGTGAAGTATCTCAGGAGTAGAAAAACAAATACCACGTGTTCTCACAAATAAGTTGGAAGTAAATGAGGGGTATATGTGGATATAAAAAGATGTAAAGGACATTGGAAACGAAGAAAGGAGGGGAGTGTGATGAAGGTGAGGGATAAAAACTTATCTATGGGTTTAGCACTGTCCTTGCGACAAGCACACTAAAAGCCCCACCTTCAGCATTATAGAGTGTATCTATGCAACAAAAACTTTTGTACCCCCTTAATACTTCAAAACAAGTAAGTAAATAAATAAAATCCTCCAACTCTCCAAACTAGGGTTGTTTCAAATATTATATGAAATATATTACAATATTATTCACTGGTATCTAGAATTCAAATTTAAAAAATAAATCCTACTTTTAAATGTCACCAATATTCTAGTCTATATAACCAGCTAGTAACCAAAGACAGTTTCAGGGAACTTTCAAATAAGTCGTAGAAGACCGATGGCATAAGGATTCTAGAATATTCAAATGAACAACATTGGCAACTCCTTGAGGGCTCTGGAAGTTAGTATTTTTGTAATGTTCCAACTAACTAGGAGCTATGAAAGCAAAGTAAATTTTGTTAACAGGGAGGGTATCTTGAAAAAACGGTATCTGAGATGAACCATTTTAATTCATCTCAAAATCTTTGTATGTGATATATGGATAGGGCAGTGAGAGTTTGGGATCATTATTTCCAGAATCTAAGTACCAGAAAGTAGTCTGTTCTGTGTAAGCCTGGATTAGAAGAGTGGCTCAAGAACCCCAGGAAACACACACCTCTCTAGACTTCTCCTCCCAACCCTTCATGTGCAGCAGATGGAAAGACTAACAGCATCACCAGCAGCTTCCAACCTCATTCAGCCCTCACTTCTAATACTCCCTGCTTCCTAAAGTCCAAAGCTTATATTTAATAATTTCTAAGAAAATCCATACTCCTTTAGTTTAGAATGAAGGAGTGAGCAAATACAGCCACTTTGTGTTTTCAAAGAATTAAAAAAAAAAAAAAAAAAAAACACAAAGGCAGACAACTTCACAAACTTAATTTCAAAAATAAACTGATTTTAAAAAGGAAAAATTTGGCATTCTGCAAGATGCTAACTGATCTTTGGAACCTATCTGAGTCTTATCAGAATATAAACTGTCTATTTAACCATGGCAACACATTTTAATTTAACAAACACATAATGCTCACTGTGTGCCAGCTGCTGTCCTATACATTTTAGAATATTACCTCATTTAACCTCTGTAACAATTTTAATAAAGAGGTGGTATTATTATCTCTATACTAGTGAGAAACTGAGTGCAGTTTCTCAAGATCACACAGCAATTAAGTGGCAGAGCCAAGACTCAAACCAGACAGTCTGACTCCAAACTCTATGCTCTTAACCTCCCTACTACAGGAATCTTGGCCAGAAGTTAACACAAGTAGGCAAAGAATTGATATAGAGGCTGCTTCCTCCAACTGATAGGACAAAATCTGGACACCTAATAATATGGCCTCCAAGGCCACTGAGATGAGCACTGATTCCAACTGTGTGCTCAGACATTTCGACTCCACATTCCTTGGCTCCAGGCAACCTTGCCCTCTCCCACACTCAGAGCATGCTGTTCTCCAAACTCTGTACCTTTGCCCTTGCCTCTTCTCTGTAAGAAAAGCCCTGAGTCTCCTCTTTGCCTACTAATCTCCATGTATTCCTTAGGTCTCCCCTCAGGAACTGCTCGTCCCTGGAGCCTTCCCTGACCACTGCCCCAGGCCCTTGCCCCACGACAGGTGTGCCTGAAGTGCTCCTCCTGTAAGTTCCCAGGGCCACCTCTGAGTATGTCTATCACAGTGTGATATTTACTCTACCTCCCACTGGCTGTGTGCCTTAACCATCTTCATAACCTGTGTACATAGCTGGCATTCCCATACCAGTGGGAGTGTAATTACAGAACTGAATTTAGACACATCTGGATGGTGGCAGGTACAAATATAACACATAGGAAACCCTAGAATAGAATTCCCTGGGAGCTAAGGGCAAAAATGGGTAGATCAAGCAGTCCCAAAGGGCTCTTCTTTTAATACCTTTACTAATCAGTGAAAATATATAATCCTCATGCTAATTCAGAAGCTATTCAAATAGGATATCATATTAAATGAGATTAAGAAAAATCAGTACTAGGAAAAAATGCAACTACACACTCCATTTGTAAGTGTATACATGACAAATTTAAGCCCCAAACATGACAAATTCAGCCCTAAATAAATGTTAGAACAAATCTCCATACAATAAATTCATTTGGGGTTTATTAGGCGCCAACTGTATGTGCCAGATGCTGTTACACCAGAGGAATGCAAAGATGAATAAGATATAAGATGAGGAACTCACAGCCTATCAGGCATGGCAGACACGCAAACAGATCACTGCCACTTATTAAAGAGGTCTGCATTGTAACAGCAACATAAACCGAGTATACGGAAGGCACAGTGGAGAGAGGATCTAACCAAAGGAAAAAAAAAAGTAATAGATTTGGGTCTACCATTATAAGAAGAATGGGCTGCAGGAAGGAAATAAATCACAGGAAACTTGCCACTCTGAAAACAG